GGGCCAGGCCACCTCCCCACCCCCAGCAGTGCGACCCCCACCTCCGTCTCCACCCACCTCAGGCCGGAGACTCAGACCTCTCTTTGCTCTAACAAGTGGCCCCTTCTCTCTGGAACAAGTCATTCCTGACCACGACTGCACCAGTGCGGGTGGGGACCGTGTGGCCTCTCCTGTCGGAACCCGGGGAGCAGGCCGCCTGGGGGTGCCAAGCTCTGGGGAGAGCACTTGCATTAGCACTTGGGGCAGGGGGCTCCCAGGCCCCCCAGGGGCTGGGTCCCCTCCCTCCGCTGCATCTGGCTCCTCCTCCTCAGGTTGAGTGCAACTCCAAGCTGGACCCCACCACCACGACCTTCCTGAAGGTGAGACCCTCCTGCCCACCCTGGTCCCGGGCTCAGGGAGAGGCCTGCCTGCCATCCCGGCCGGGCTGGTAGATCTGGTCAGCCGAGCCTGTCCCGGTGTGTGGGGGCCAGGCTAGGTTTGGGGGGGCCCTGCTCCGCTCACTCTCCTCTCTCCCTGCAGATGGCGGATTCCGGGGGGCTCCCGCAGGTCACACAGGTGAGACTCAGACCTCTTTCTTGCCTCGGCTGGGGCGGGGGACCTCCTCCCTCCCCCAATGCTAGACGGTCAAGCATGTGCCTGTCCCCCCGCAGCCTGGGAAGCTGACTGAAGCCTTCAAGTACTTCCTGCAAGGCATGGGCTACAGTGAGTACCCGGCACCCTGCCCCCAGCACCCACAGGCGGCAAGGGGGCCGGCACCGCCAGGTGTGCTGAGCAGCCTGTGGGCCGGGCGCCCTGGATGGGGGCCTGGGTGCGGGGTCGCTCTCTACACACGCCCCCTGCTGCCAGGGCGTCTGCACCTCCGTGCCCAGCTCTCCTGGGCCCTGGGGAGGCTTTGGGCACCGTGGCATGGCCAGGTCCCGTCTGAAGGTGTCAGACACCCCCCACCCAGGGCTTTGTCACAGCTGGGAGATGGGCACAGAAGAGCGGGCTTGCAGTCTGGGCCGCGGAAGGCACATGGGCCATGTGGGTGTCAGGAGAATTCCCAGCAGCACCCAGCCTGGGCCTGGGCCCCCGGGGCTGGGAGAAGAGCTCCTCTCCCCGTAGGCAGCTGGGCCCGGGTGGCATTCTGCACATCCTGGGGCGTAGCGGCTGCAGGCAGCACTGGCCCCCGACACGCCCCTCCCCGTTCTGTCTCCAAACTTCCCCTGTGCTCAGATCCAGACTGGGCTTGTGAGCCCCCAACACGCACACACACGCACACGCACACACACATGCACACTCACCTCCTCCACCCCTCTGCTGCACACACCTGGCTCCTGGTGGAAGCAAACTTCCTCTTCCCGACGACTTTTTGTCCCTCTCCCTGAAGTTTTGTGCCTCTGGACCTGGGGGGGTGGGGGGGAGGACAGGCCTGTGCTGGGAGGGGAGGCAGGAGCCCCATCCAGGGACAGCTCTCCCTCCAGCCAGGGCCTCGCCTCTGTGAGAAGTAGGCAAGGAGGCCAGTGGTGAGACAGCAGGACTCGGAGCCGGAGCGGAGCCGGCCTGGAGCACGGAGGAGCCCAGTCAGCATCTGTGGGTTGGGGGGATGGGCAACGCCTGTCAGGGCCCCGGGAGAAATGCCACCAGGCAGCCAAGAGCTGGGGGGACCTGGGAGGTTGTGCAGGACTCCCCCATTCTGTCCCTGGGGGGACTGAGGCCCAGCAGAACGGTGAGGGGGTGAGGGCGCTGTGACAGATATGGGCCCAAAGGCCTTGCTGACATGAGCCCCGCAGTGCCTGAGAGGCTGGGGGCGGGCAAGAAGTGTCCCCTCCCTGCTGTCGGGGCTCCAGGGCCAGGCTGAGGTCAGCCTGTGCTGTGTGGTTCCTTCTGTGGCTGCTGCGTGGTAGGTGGGCAGGAGTGGGCTCCCCAAGGCCCTGGCCCTGCCTCCAGCCCTCAGCCTGTCCTTCCGTCTCTTCGGTCCATCTGACCCCTTGCCTCTCGGACCTCGCTCCTCACCGTGTTCTGTCTCCCCTCCCGGCTCTGTCTTCTCTCTCAGTTGCGTACTTGAAGGACCGGAGGCTGAGTGGAGGAGCAGGTAGCCCTGGAGCCCCTCCCCTGATGCATGGCCCGCCCGGGCTCCCCTGCTCCTTCCTCTGGCTGCGCTGAGCCAGCGCATCTCGCTGTGGTTTGGAACCTTCTCGTGTCCTGCTCGTGCGCAGATCCTGGGTGGCACAGCTTTGCCCCTTCTTAGGGCTCTGGATTGGCTGGGTTCGAGAGCAGCCTTGCTCCGAGGGAGGCTTCCGGAGCTGTGGCAGCTGGAACCAGACCCTCTCGAGGGCGGGCCCAGGCCCGGCCCTGCCCCAGCTGAACAGGTGGCCCGAACAGGTGGCCGGATAAGTGAGGAGGGCTGAGTCTCGCTTGTGAAACGCAATGAGGCAGAAATGGGATTTAGGGCAGTTTGGCCTTCTTTGCAGAATCACCCCCCCTCTCCCAGCTCCCCCATCCTCTCAAGGCAGGCCACGCTGAAACAATGCCCCTTCCTTCCCCCAGCTCTGGGGGAGCTGGTCAACTCCCGCCATCCTGGCCTTGTCTCTGGCCAGCTGTGGCGAGAGGGTCCTGCTGGCATCTGTGGACCCTGGCCCGGCCCTGGCTCGCTCACTGTCGCTGGCTGCATGCCTCGGGCTGGCAGAGCCGATGCCAGAGCCCTGGCTTGGGATGGGCCTCTGTGCCATCGGGAGAATGGGTCTCGCTGGCCGCTTTGCTTGCGTGAGTACTTCTCCCGCCTGTGGTGCCCGGCCCTGCCCGCTGGCCCTCATGCCCGGCCCCGCCTCTGTCCACAGTGCCCTCGGCCAGCATGACCCGGCTCGCCCGCTCTCGGACCGCGTCCCTCACCAGTGCCAGCTCGGTGGAGGGCAGCCGCCCGCAGGCCTGCACCCACTCGGAGAGCAGCGATGGGCTGGGCCAGGTCAACCACACCATGGAGGTGTCCTGTTGAAGCCCTGGTCCCCTGAAGACGCCCACGTGCCCCCACCCGCGTCGAGGTCCCACTGCCACCCTCACGCCCGCCGGCTCCTTTTCTGTTTTATTTCTTTCTGTGAGGGCGAAGGGAGGAAAGGGGGTTACGGGTCTCAGATGCTACAGCAGAACAGTCTCTAGGGGGTCCCCAGGCCCCACCTCACTAACCTTGTTGACCTGGCTAACTTGGGCCCGTTCTGCCGAGTCCCCAGCACCTGGGCGGGAGGGGGACCAGCTAAGGGAAGGCTGAGTCCCTCTCTGGCCAGGATCCGGGATGATATCCTGGGTTAAAGAACGAGCAAGGGATGACCCCTGGGGCAGGCAGGTTTGACGGTGGGATGGAGTGGTGAGGTGATGGGTGCAGCTCAGGCACTGGCATGAGAACCAGGAGAGGCAGCAGGGAGCCCTGGAACCCCCCACCCCCACCCCCACCCCAGCTCCCACCAAGCACATCTGATTCTGTCTCATAGCACATATGACAATCATCTGAACAGTAGCCACAAGGGGGTGCTCCCACAGGCCTCTTGCAGGTACTGCAGGGCCAGGCAGGCAGGGGCTGAAGGGGATTTCTCTGTCCAAGGAAAACAAAAGAAAGGACCTTGAGGGCAGGAACCCCACAGACTGTCTCTTCCGGCTCACACACCCCGCCACCGCCTGGCCCTGGCCCATGTCTGCGCCAAGGCCCCAAAGCAGTTGGTCTCCTGGTCTTCCACCTCCATAGGGACCTGGCTTGGGGCTGAGGTTAAAGGCTGGGATAGCCAGTGAGGACGGGGTGTCCCTCTGCCTGCCTTTGGGAGCCAGCATGTGGCCCCAGGGGGCAGTGGCTGAAAGTCCCAATAGATCCCTCTTTTGCCCCCCAGGTTCCACGAAGGACAGTGTGGCCAAGGCCGCCAGAAACATGGTATTTCTAGGAAGAGTCCTGGTAGAGTTATGCTGGCGTTTCACCCAGGCATCCCTAAGCAAGGCAAGAGAGTTTCTGTAGAACTGGTCCAGGGTGTCAAGACTCCCGCAGGCCCCAGTCCATCTCAGCCTGTGGAGTGGCTTGGACTGGGGCTTTGCTAGATCCGGGGGTAGGAGGGGAAAGTTCCCGCAGTGAACAAGGACCAGGCAGAGGAGAGAGGCTCCCCTCCCCCGGCCCCCCCCCCCACTCCTGCCACCTAAAGCCCAGGACTGGGCCGTGTATTTCCCATCCACCACCTTATCAGGTAGAATCTCTGGGCCCAGAAACCAGAAGCCATTTGTCTCAGAGCCTGAGTCAGTTGCCACAAACCCCCAAACGAGTAAAAAGAAAGGGGAGAGAGCTATGAAAATCGGAGGGCCGGGGTGTGTATGTTGGGGAGGAGGGTGTGCTCTGAGGCTGGGAGGATACCCATATCCATGTTTCCTCTGCACATATTACCCCCCCCACCAATAATCTTAAGCCATTGTTAGACTTCTCTAGAGCCTGGTGGAGTGTTAGTCTGTGCCCAGTTCTATTCACTCACGTGCTTCCTCTGAATATCGAATGTGACCGTTTGAAAAGCTGGTAGAATTAATCCCTCTTACTGTAGATAGTGCTGCAAGTTGGATTTCTCTTGTTTTGCTGTGTTCTTTCAGATGAGATATCTATAAATATCTATACATTATATATACGTATGTATATCGGGTCCTCCTGTGTGTGGTTTTCCATCGGAGGTTGTCTCTTCTTTGGTCAAAGTGAACTTTCAATGGAGTTTATTATTTTCCTCTCTGTACAGGGTGGAGAGCCTAACTGTGTATTCTAGTGGCTAATGTCATGAGACTCGGAAATGACAAAATGTAAAACAAGTAAAAACCCTTGTCAACATAGAAAGAGTTAACTGTGCCGAAAACCAATAAAGAAACTAAAAGGAATTTGGGTATGGTGATGCCATGCCCACCGTGGGAAGCTTTGGAAGAGACAAAGTTTAGGCTGGCAAAGCTGATGCCTGTGGGGGTGAGGGCGGGGGAGTGTGCAGGGTGAGGGTGGGCACTTCCATCTCCATGTTCCCACTTCTTGTCCCATACATTACGCTGCCAACCCTTACATGAACTCTACAGGATAGATATCCATTATCTTAGTGTCACAGCGGAGGAAACAGACTCCGAATAAGGGATTTGCTGTAATAAAGCCAAGTGGGGAGCTGGCATTGGCATCGTTGGACTTCCAAACACAAGCGTTGTAACCTCTATGTTCATTCGTTGCCTTGTTAAATTTAACAGCAGGCTCCTTCCCCAGGTTTAGCCACTTATGATTAACTCAGCCGTTTACCCAATAGGCATTGAGTTCCTGCTGTGCGTCAGCTAACAAAGCAAGTAAATAAAAATTAAACCCACTGTGTGCTATGCAGAAAATGAAAACAGGAATATCCTAGCGCGTGTGACAGGAGCTTATCCTAATTCTGTGAGCCCTGCCCACGCCGGCATGCAAACTGCTCTAATTGAGCAAATAAAACCGGCGATGACCACAGCTAACGAGTGGCGGAGATGGAGTGGCGGAGATGAAGGCAGGCCGGCGCCCGCCCGGTGCGCCGACAGCCGCAGCCGCGAGGCCCTCAGCTTCGCATCCAAAAAACAGATTTTGTCCCTCACCCGGACGTGCACCCGAGGTCTCAGCAGTCGGAGATCCCAGGGGAGGCTCAGAACCAGGCTCGAGGTGGCACGGGGACACGTCTTCCTGCACTCGACCGCACGTTTTCCAAGCCCAAATGGGGACACCCTCACAGAAGGCCGCTTTCAGGACTGACTGTACCAGGTGCCAATCCCTAATCGCTCTGACACTAGCCCCACGTGGTCCGTGCGGCGGGTCGGGCACGTGGCCCCGCCCTCAAAGCCCCGCCGGGGGCGTGTCTAGGGACGCCGGGGGCGTGGCCAGGGAAGCCGGAAGCGCGGCGCGGCTCCATGAACTGGCGAGGTCGCACGCTCGCGGACCATGGCGACTCGGGTGAAGCGCCGGCGGGTAAGTCGCGGGCGGCCGGCGTGGGGCCCACCTCTCCCCACTGCGCCTCGCGCTGCTCCACCCGCATCCGTCCCGCGCGGGGGTGTCCTCCACTCCCTTGCTCCCGCGGTCGCTTCCGGTCCCCTCCCCCACTCAGCGCCCTCTCCGTGCGGCGCCGCCGTCTCCACCCCCCGCGAGCTCTCGGGGGCGGGGCCTCGCCAGCGCGCCCTGTTGTTTTAGGTGGCCGGACCTGAAGGCTGTGGCCACGGCCTCGACCGGGACCCGGACCCAGTGGCCGGCTTCCTGCGCTGGTGCGGGCGCGTGGGGCTGGAGCTGAGCCCCAAGGTGAGTGAGGTGGGCGGAGACGCGGGCAGGCTGGGCGCGGGCGTGCTCTGAGCCGCTGCTTCCCTTTAGGTGGCGGTGAGCCGGCAGGGCACGGTGGCCGGCTACGGCATGGTGGCGCGGGAGAGCGTGCAGGCCGGGGAGCTGCTGTTCGCGGTGCCGCGGGCCGCGCTCCTGTCGCAGCACACCTGCTCCATCGGCGGCCTCCTGGAGCGAGGTGCGCGCGCCGCGGGTGGGGCGGGAGGAGGGGCCGCGGGCCGCGCGCGGGCCCTCACCTCTGTCTCCCGCAGAGCGGGGCGCGCTGCAGAGCCAGTCGGGCTGGGTGCCGCTGCTGCTGGCGCTCCTCCACGAGCTGCAGGCCCCGGCCTCACCCTGGAGCCCCTACTTTGCGCTCTGGCCCGAGCTGGGCCGCTTGGAGCACCCGATGTTCTGGTGAGAGCCGTGCAGGGGTGGGGGACAGGCTGTCTCCGGAGCCCTGGTCTCAGTGGGGCGTGTGAAGGGAACGAGGGTTTCCCTGCAGGCCGGAGGGGGAGCGCCGGCGGTTGCTGCAGGGGACAGGGGTCCCCGAGGCCGTGGAGAAGGATTTGGCCAACATCCGCAGCGAGTACCATTCCGTCGTGCTGCCCTTCATGGAAGCCCACCCCGACCTTTTCAGCCCCAGGGTTCGCTCCCTGGAACTCTACCAGCAGCTCGTGGCTCTCGTGATGGCCTATAGGTCAGTGAGCAGCCTGGGAGGCCCCTTTCCTTTAGAACGCTATTGAGGGACAGGAGGGGAGAGAACAGTGAACCCCACCCCAGCCCCTCTCCCTGCCCTGGGCTTCAGCCAAGTTCTCTCTGGTAGCTTTCAGGAACCCCTGGAGGAAGAGGATGATGAAAAGGAGCCAAACCCCCCCTTGATGGTGCCTGCCGCAGACATACTAAACCACGTAGCCGATCACAATGCCAATCTAGAGTACTCTCCAGTGAGTGGACCCCTCCCAGTGCGTTCGTAGGTGTGTTGATGACTGGGCATGATTCAGACCAGTGCCTGTCATTTGTGGCTGTTTGGCCACTAGGCTGAATGGGCTCCACTTTCCTGGCCCTGAAAAGGAGTAAGTGAAGTTAGCGCCTCCTATACGTGCGTCTCCCAGTGAAATAGTTTGAGCACAGAACTTCTCATGTTTGTGGTTAATCTTCTGATGAACTTGACTGCCATCATTTCTTTGGTGCTGGAGGTGGGCTACTCTGCATAACGCCAGGGTGTGGGCAGCAGGGCTGCTCTGCACAATGCCAGGGTGTGGGCAGCAGGGCAGCGGTGTAAGATGATGCCGGGGCTCATTAAATTGTTACTGTGTGGAAGTTTCTGTTGGTGGGCATAGCATCAATCCCATCGCTGAACAGGCCTGCTGGAGGGTCTTCCTAAGCGGGGAGTAATCATGGGGCCGGGAGGGGAAAGGCCTGTTCCCAGCTGCTCCCTTCCACTCCAGAACTGTCTTCGGATGGTGGCTACTCAGCCTATTCCCAAAGGCCATGAGATTTTCAACACTTACGGGCAAATGGCCAATTGGCAGCTGATCCACATGTATGGCTTTGCTGAGCCATACCCTGACAACACAGATGACACAGCTGACATTCAGATGGTGACAGTGCGAGAGGCAGCATTACAGGGTGAGTGCCTGATTGACTCAATCCTGGACACGTGGATGTGCCTCTTTCCCCTATCCGTCCCAGGTGCTTTGCTAATAGTTGCTTTTTGCAGACTAGGGGTAGACTAAGAAACGACCTTTGATATACTGAGCTTCACACTACTTTTCTATGTACAGGAGCCAAAGATGAAGCTGAAAGGCTCCAGCTGTGCGAACGCTGGGATTACTTATGCAAACTAGAGATGGTAGGGGAGGAGGGAGCCTTTGTGATTGGGCGGGAAGAGGTGCTGACTGAAGAGGAACTGACCACCACACTCAAGGTAAAGGGCCCCAAACTGCTATTTAATGCTCAAAGCAGCCTTCGTATTTAGAGCTATAGAGCCAGGTGAGGGAGGAAGGGAGGGACGAAGGGAAGAGGATATTTGAATGCTACCAAGATAGGTTATCGTCTCTACATCAATTTCAGAAACACACAAGTGGCAAATCCTAATTAAAGGGCCCATGGTTGCTTCTAGGTCCTGTGCATGTCTGCTGAGGAGTTCAGAGAGTTGAAAGAACAGGATGGATGGGGAGATAAAAGGGAAGAGGACAGCCTGACGATCACAAATATCCCCAGGCTCAAAGAATCATGGAGACAGCTTCTTCGGAACAGTGTTCTGTTGACCCTGCAAGCCTATGCCACAGACTTAAAAGCTGAGCAAGATTTACTCGGTAATAAGGACATCTACAGCAAACTCAGCTGGAGGGAGCAGCAGGCCTTACAGGTTCGTTATGGGCAGAAGATGATCTTACACCAGCTGTTGGAACTGACGGGTTAAAGCTAAGCGGATTCCCTGCTACCTGAAGGAACATCCCATGAGAAGAACTTTTCTAAGCTGGTATTCATGGATGTTTGAAAAGGAGGAAAATTTGGATCTTTCCTTTTGGTGGTTAATAAGAAAAGCCAAAGGAGCAAAGGTGTGCTAGGATGAACTCTGAGGTAAGGGGACATGTTTAAGGGTTGGGAACAGCAGACTTGGGAATCTCTGCTAATTGTCACCAAGACCAACCCCCCCCCCCCCCTTTAACTTCTTAAAACCAAAACACTTTATAGCTGTTTTGTTCTCAGTTTGGACCAAATTAGCAGAAATTTGATTGTGATAATAAAAGGTCTTGTAGTCTAGTGTAGTGTTTAATAACACGACCTTTGAAAGTAGACCTGGTTAAAATTGAGTCTATTTGGAACAGAAAAGACATCAAGTGGATTCCCACCTGCCAAAGTTTAGGCCTGGTAACACTGTGTGTCGCTTTGACAATTAACTGCTGCCTTAACTTATTTTTATAAGGATTTAATAAGCTATGTCACTGGCACTCAGAGCATGTTTTAACTCCTCAGCAGTCTGAAGTTGGCTCTAGATGGGACAACTCACCCTCAGGGAAGAAATCCTGAGACACCAATGACATTCAGGCCCGCATCATGTAAGATTTTCTAGTGAATTTTGGACCTTTTTGTCCTCTGGCCATAAACTTGACAGCCATTAAAGGTGTAAGTTTCGCATATACACCTACTCCTTTCTTTTAAAATTAAAGGGCATTTTGTAATTGTTTAATCGTAGAAACCTGCTCTAACAATTTTTCATTGAAAAGGAACAGGAAGAAACACTAAAAAAAAAAAAAAAAGACTTTTTTTGCTTGTTTGAACAGGCCAAACAGGCTCAAAACTAGCGGGAAAGATCTACCGTTTAGCAAAAAGCTGGTTCCCAAAGTCCCCAGGCTTTGCAAGGGTGGACTGTCAGCACTGGCTGCTGCTCCTGAGGCAAGGCACAGCGGACTGCATGTGTGTCATGACTTTAATGCTGCACTGACTATGACTAGTCGGCACCCACAAGAAGTAGGGGAGCTAACGGCCAAGAACTGGAAAGGCTACAGAGTATAACACTGGACCAATATGTATCCTTACAAAAGAGGTTGTGTTGGTCCTTTTGACTTTTTTGTTACTCATCTTAGCCTGGGATAAAGGGGGAGGGCAGTTGATACTATTTGGTTCCCTTTCCTCAGTTTACAAGCATCAGGAGAGATTTGGGGTGGCGGGTGTGGTGGTGGTGGCAGTGCACGCTTTAGCCCTGGTGTGTTTCCCTTTGTAAAAAGAGCATGTTCTCTAGCAGTCAACTTTAGATCTGGGGCAGGGACAAAGCAAATTGTATGCTAAATTCTATCATACTCACCAACTTTTGTGATTTTCAAGGTCCACATTAAAATGTTATATAATATTTAAATTGGCTTTTTTGCTTCTTCTTTGGGACACCAGGAATGTCAAGACGTGGAGCTATGCCCCCAGGCAAGTACATGGCAGCAGCAGCCTCTTCACATGAGATGGGCAGTTACCAGTTTATGTACGTGCCTTTGACACTTTTTGCACAAACCCAAGAAGTTCCAGACAAAGGTTTTCTCTTTCATGTATTTACACAAGTTCAAAATGATATTCACAGCATTTTCTAAATTTTGGCCAAGAGTCAAAAAAATGCATTTAAACTTTGGAACGTGCCCACATAGACAGGAAGCTGGCCCAAACTAATTGGGGCAGGTTCCTGAGAACCAAAGGGCTGGGAAAGTCAGGAAGAGCTGAAAGGATTCCTCAGCCAGTTTATGGACTTGGTGCTGTGGGACATCCAGGCTGACACATTTACAACAGAAATGCAGTTCCGTCTAACTGGCACCTGTCCCTTCCATTACTTGCTGAGCCTGCTTCTGTCCCATGCAGCACTGTGCGACGGACTGGAATAACCTGAAGGGAAAGAGTTAAGTTTGTGAGAAAAGTTCAGGCCTGGCCAGTGTTCTCAGTGGGTAGAGCATCAGCCTGCACACCACACCAAAGGATCTCAGGTTCATGTCCCACCCCCATCTGTATGTGTGTGGGAGGCAACCAGTCAATATCTCTCTCACATCCATCTCTCTCTGGAAAGCAATGGGAAAAAGACATCCTCAAGTGAGGATTGACATTCCCCACCCGCCAAAGATCAGGCCTGGCAACACTGTGTAGCTTTAACAACTGCCTTAACGATCCACCCAGGCTGAAGCCATCAAATGATTCTCATTCTCAGACAATTAAAAAATCTTTTAACTTACTTTTCAATTTCTGGGGCACAGTGTACAAATTCATGGTTCCAGAACTTAAATGCTGGATTTTTAATCAGCTCAATGAAGGTAATAAGTAGACCCCAAGGATGTGGCCTATTTACAATCAACCGTTCCAAGAGAACCCTGGAGAAGGGAAGAATGAGTGAGTTAATGCACTGAATTCAGGATCCCTAACTCTTCTCCCTGATTAGTAAAGCTAACAACTTTTAGTTTACTAAAGACAAGTGGATTAATTTCTGTACTCTATATAGCATGGTTAATAGCCCAGGTGGATTCTTGAGAATAGGCTGGATTCAAACCCCGATTTCCCGATTCATTACTGAGCCTAGAAGACTAAGTTAAGGTGAAGTTAGGATAATATCAGACTACATGGTGCAATATGCACTAAATGAAAGGAAATAGGAAGCAAATTCTAATACTGAATGGCAGCATTGACTGAAATACTCATTTTTTTACCTAGCCAACCGTACTTCTAAATTTACCAAGAAAATAATAAAGCACAAGAACACAGATTTAAGTACAAGGAAGTTGACTGCAGCTTTATAAATAATTACAAGATAGGGCATTATCCCTAGTTAGTTTTTAGTATATAAATCTAAGGAATACTGTGGTCTAATACCCACAAACTACTATTAGGGGAGAAGGCAACTTTAAAAAACCTTCTAAACTATAGGCGGTAAGTCGATGTGCTTTAACATGGGCTGGCCTGTATAGCGCAGGACTGGTTAAAAATTGCACCACCACCACATGATCTTAAACTAAAATGCTGGTGTCTTTTATTGAAAACTACTTTTTATTTCAGCAATGATTATGACCTGTGATTCAGACTAATTATTAGACAGGAACCATGTCCATTTTGTTCAGAACTACATCCCACATTGAACACATGTAAAAGATGCTCAATGCACAGGAAAAACATTCAAGAGAATTCACAATAAAGGGGTAGAAGCACCTGGAAAACAAACTTCTCTCTTACCTTGTGATCTGTTCTTGGATAGCTTCAGTGTTGGCCTCTGCAAAAAGGTACAGCATGGTGCAGCTGAAGTAGTGAGTGTGGCTATTTGGGTACCGCAGCTGGTTTGCAATTGCATTTAAGAAGAGATACCGACCTAAAAAAAAAAAATCAAGAAAACTCAGTTTAGTGAGGACTTGCTCTGTAAGACCAAAATAAGAAGGCAAGTCATTCTGATTGGCTGGGATTTGGATTTCTTCTGCTATAAGCTTTCAAATTATGCTTTAGTCCTTTTTCATTGCTGTGGATCTTATTTCAATATTTCCACATTAAAAAGTTTTAAAGTATTTCCCTAAAAAAACTTAGTGAAGTATGTCACTGTTTTACATTACATAATCTCTTTAATATCACTTAACAGAAGATGGCTGAATTCTCATTTTTGCCTGTCCCATCTGTTCCAGTGTTACATTTCATGTAACCTCTGGAAAACTCCACTGCACCCTCATTACAAAATGAGTACAAAAAAAGCCAAGATATTATGAAAATAGTTTTGACCTCACAGCCCTTCTAAAAGGGTCTTGAACTCTATCAGAGGTTCACAGACCACACTTTATTAACTAGGTTTGGTTGTCTGCCTCTGTTTGATATTACTCATGTTTGTAAGGCTATCACAGTTTTAAGGTGTCCCTAAAGGCTACCTTCTTTTTGCTGGGCTCTGAACATAATGGTAACCAATTTTGTTAAGTCTTGATTTTAATCTGCCTCAAATCCCTTCTACAAATAGGCCGGCAGTATATGCATACTCAAGATTAGCCCCTCAAGAATCCACAGCAAAGTTAACAGTAGGCAGGCAACCCTTGGTTAGCACCTACTAGAATATAGAAAAAAAAAATGCAGTTCAACCAGGCAAAATGCAACCTGTAGTAGGAATTATATTGTAAGCTTTTTGAAGAGCAAGTAGGGGAAGTCCTATTCATTAAAGTTTATAATGCCTAATATTAAAATGCTGCCTACCAAATAGGCACCAGCAGGTGATGAGGAAAAGGCAGGTTAACAAAAACAATGTATCAAGCCTATTTTTAAAGAGAGGCTAATAAAAGGAACATGTTTATTTTTCACATTAAAAAAATACTGCAGCCGAAACCGGTTTGGCTCAGTGGATAGAGCGTCGGCCTGCGGACTGAAGGGTCCCAGGTTTGATTCCGGTCGAGGGCATGTACCTTGGTTGCGGGCATATCCCCAGTGGGAGATGTGCAGGAGGCAGCTGATCGATGTTTCTCTCTCATTGATGTTTCTAACTATCTCTCTCCCTTCCTCTCTGTAAAAAATAAAATATATTAAAAAAAAATTCTTAAAAAAAAAATACTGCAGTCATATACTGAAATATTAACTGATATGGGAAGAATTCTGGATGATTCTTTTCTTTATAGTTTTCTGCATTGAGCAGATACTATCCAATTAAAAATAAAATAGCCAGACAGAGCCATAAACACTGACAGAACATTATTTCTCTAATGTATTTTTATGATTGGACTGTAGCTTAAGGTGCAGAAAACGACTCTGAGAACTTGCTGGCTTCACTCACCTTCAGTGTCCAAGTCTACAGCCAGGTTCTGGAATATGTCCATGTGAGCCGAGTGGGTGATGGTGCTCATTGAGGGTGTGCTGCCCTTGTTGTGGATGTGTGCAATGGCCTGAGTCCCGACATAAAGCACCAGTGCATTGATGAGCTGTAGGTTATAGCGATTGCCAGGTTCATTTGATACCTAAATGAATAAAACAAAGCACCTGACTTATTCTCAGAGGGCTGATTCATGCCTTTTTATGCCTTCAAATAAAAGCTGAACTGCTTTCAATATTCTTTGTCATTTACATTTCAGATAAATTTCCTTGAGTTTGTTGAGGGTATTTAACAGATACACAGCTGCCAAACATTTCCCTTAGGAAACCGAAGCTCTTTAACAGGTACCAGCATAAAAGTGAAGTTTATAAAGTGAAAATATGCACTACACTTCAATTACAGAAAAGATTTGGAGAGGGAAAAGGCTTCCTCCTTGGTGTGGAAAATTAATACAACTTCAAGTCATTTTCTATAGAGCAAATTAGACCGTTTCTTTAGAAAAATCTTGGAGTACTGGCCGGGAATAGTTACTAGCAGTCTATTCTTACAGAAAATCAGTCCATTCCCTGGTCGCCTCTTCCAAGGTTAGTTTTTTGTCGCTAAGATGAATTAGTAAAATGTATAATCTAGTTACTCTCACTCAACCATCAGAAATGACTTGAGGTGGTGAACACGTAATATAACATACAAATCATGTATTATAGAATTGTGCATTTGAAATCTATATCATTTTATTAACCAATGTCACCCTAAGTTCAATAAATATTAAAAGAAAAAAAACCAGTATGTATTTAATCAAGTTGAAAAGACTGACTCCTAATCAGGCCACACATAAGGACTGCATAGAAAGTGCTTTTTATGAAAGACATACAGCTAAGAATTAAGCCAAACCAATTAACCTGTAGGTTGCTGCGCAGATCAGATAGAAAAGTGACTGGTGACCGAGTTTTAAGATAGGAATCCAAATCCTTTTTGAACTGAGGTGGCATCACTCCAGTAAAATTGGTGAGAATCCGGGGCGCGATGTTAATTTCACTCAACATATCCACCTGCCAGACAAATACAATCAAAACCAGAGCATTTGTAAGAGTTAATTGTAGAATCTATGCTACAAAGTGGTAGAAATGTTTTTCTAAAACTATACACATTATAAATATCTCAAAGAGTAGAGCTGCTTTTTATCAATGCTTAGAAGAACTGAAATGCAAAATTACAGAAATTCTCTCTCTAAAATTAAAGCAGGTTAGGTACCTTTTGTGGAGAGGTCTTGTATCACTGTTTTTCCCCCCTGGACTTGGACTTCAAAACCAGAGTACAAAATTAGATTAATCACTCACCAAAAGCTCTGGTCTTGGAAAAGACACCCCAGCAGAACAGACATCATACTTGCTACTTTTAAAAACATTTATGTGAAGGGAGGGTAGAAAATACATAGAAATGACAGTACCCACACCACAGTGGTATGATTTTACACGGTCCCTTTTCTCCCTTACATCAACAATCTAAACAAAACACCTGTGAAATGTGGGCATGCAAAAGGGTCTGTCTGTTCTGCAACTCTGTGCTGTGGGGCCACCCAGCAAATGACTGGCCTGACACCTACTTACCAGAGAACTATTAATATTAAGACATAATTTTCTTTTCCTTGAACTGTTTGAAACTTTACCTTCAGATTAGGAGTGAATGGGTCTGGGAGCCTCATGTTTCTTGGGAAGGCACTCAGGATCAGGTTTCTTAGCTGAATACAATTGGGTGGGATCACATCACAGAATCCATAATGGTAATCACAAAGGAACTCCGGGAAATCATGCAGAAGAACCAGCAGCACTCTTAAAGTGCCCTATTAAAAAAGAAAAGAAGAAAAAAGCATTTGCTGACTCCACACTAAATAAAATGGGAGTAATAGTTTTACTATCATGATTTTTAACTCAAATAAAAGAGGCAGAAGTATACTTCAGTGACAAAGTTACAAGCTTTAACAATAACATCACAAGTTATTTAACAAAATATTTACATCTGCAAATTATGAAAAGCTAGGTGTCAAGAATTTATAACCTTAAATACATATGCTAGAAGAGGCTGGACAAAAACAAAAAATAGAACAATGATGTAAGTAAGCTATCTTCAGAAGTTGGAAAAAGAACAGCTAATTAAAAACAAAAAAAGTAGAGAAAAAAAGCAAAAATATATTTTTTAAAAAAGCACTGAAACAGGGATAGGGGGTGGAAGTGGCAACTGAAGTTAGAAGTTGGTTCTTTGAAAAGATTAATAAAAGGTAAACCCTACCAAGACTGATAGAAAAAACACAATACTAATATCAGGAATGAAAAAGAACCATCACTACAGACATGAAAAACAGTTTAAGAGAATCTTAATTATATGCTAATAAATTGGACAATTCAGGTAAAATACACAAAATATTCAATTTTTTAAACCTACATTTAACTATTCAATTTAAATGTTCTATTTTTTAAACCTAAACCAAAAATGAAAATCTGAATAGTCCTTTATAATAAAGAAGTTTAAAATGTTGTTAAAACCTTTCCCATAAATGTAACTCATGGCCTAGGTGGCTTTACTGGCAAATCCTTACAAATATTTAGGAAAAAATTAACACTATTTTCACAATCTTATGAAAATAGAGAATATTTTTCCACTCTCAATTGCAGTAGCATTTCGCTGATAACAAAACCTGACATGAAAATTATTCAAAAATCCTAAATGTTAGAAATAGAAATCAGTGATATATCACAACCAAATGGTTCAGAAATGCAATGGTGATTTAAACGCATTTGAAAATTAATGAATTACAACATTAACAGGAAAAAATTTTACAGGGTCTTGTATGCCCAAAAAAAAAAAAAAAAAAAAAAAATCAATACCCATTTAATGATTTAACTCACAGAAAATTATAAATAGAAGGGTATTTCCTTAATCAGATAATGGTATCTATAAAGCAAAACTATAGATTCACAAAACCATTATACTTAATGGTGAATTACTGAGGGCTTTCCCCAAGATTATTAATGAAACAATTACGCAATTATTGCTATCTCCTATTTAACAATGTTCTGCAGTTACTGGTAAGTGCAAGAAAAAGAAAATGAAAAACCCACTGTTACAGGTAGATGAAATGATCTGTACTTAGAATATATCCCTTAGAAAAAGTAAATTCAGCAAGGTGGCTAGATACAAGGCAGATATACAAAATCAATTTTATTTCTCTAGACCACTAACAATGAAATGAAAATTTTAAAAAGATCTCCCTTACAATTTGACAAAAAACATCAAATATATAGGAGTAAGTTTAAGGAAAAATATTTAAAACATCTATGCTGAAAACTACAAAGCACTGCAGAGTAAAATTAAAAGCCTAACTAAATGGTGACATACACTTTCAAGGGTTGAAAAGCTCAACACAACTTACACCATACACAAAAATAAACTCAAAATGGATAAAGGACTTAAACGTAGACGGGAAACGATAAAAATCTTAGAGGAATCCACAGGCAGCAAAATCTCAGACATATGCCAAAGCACTATCTTCACTGATACAGCTCCTAAAGCAATGGAAACTAAAGAGAAAATAAATGGGACTACATCAAAATAAAAAGCTTCTGTACAGCAAAAGAAACCATCAACAAAACAAGAAAGCCCACTGCATGGGAGAACAAATTTGCCAATGTTATCTCCAATAAGGGTTTAATCTCTAACATTTACAGGGAACTCATACAACTTAACAAAAGGAAGATAAACACAATAAAAAAAATGGGCAACATACCTAAATAAATACTTTCCGGAAGAAGACAGAAGGAAGGCCAAGAGACATATGAAAGAAAACATGCTCAAAGTCACTAATCATCCAAGAGATGCAATTAAAACGACAATGCGGTATCATCTCACACCTGTCAGAATGGCTATCATCAACAAATCAACAAATGACAAGTGCTGGCGAGGATACTGAGAAAAAGGAACCCTCATGCACTGCTGAGTGGGAATGCAGATTGGTACAGCCACTGTGGAGAACAGTATTGAGTTTCCTCAAAAAACTAAAAATGAACTTCCATTTGACCCAGTGATCCCACTTCTAGGAATACATTCCAAGAAACTAGAAATACCAATCAGAAGGGACATATGCACCCCTATGTTCATAGCAGCACAATTAACCATAGCTAAGATTTGGAAACAGCCTAAGTGCCCATCAGCAGATGAGTGGATTAGAAAACTGTGGTACATCTACACAATGGAATACTATGCTGCTGTAAAAAGGA